ATATGGGTAGTTTGCTGATAAATCGTAATTAGCAATCGAAAAATTTCGTCGGAAATACTCAGCAAACAGTATTGAGATTTCAAAATCATCCGACGAATCAGAGTCATTAAAAGAAAGATGAGAGGGATATGTGGAAATTTTTCTTTTAGAGTTAACAAATTTAAAAAAGTATTTAGGATTTCAAACAGAGAGGACTTAATGGAGTATAGATACTTTGTTCTTTTTAAGATTTTAAGTGAATTAAGTCTCATGGCACGTAAAAGCAGGTAGGGCAACAGATATCCTCTAATGGAATAGGCAAAAAAAGGCTTTGTTATTATGTAACACATGTAAACTGTGGATGCTTTGAGGTGGACAGTGGACATCCGTCTACAAAGAGTAAAACGAACGAAGTAACAAGATTTATTAGAAATCGCCGAAAGTAGAATGTTGTAAAATCGTTAAGTCGTCAAACTTTTTTGGACTTTTATTAATTCTTTACATATAGATAATCTTGAATTTGAATTACTTTGCAATAAAACTTAGTTCTTAATTCCAAAAATAACGATATCATGCTTTACATTTTTTACATATATTTGGTAATCATTTCTGGAAAAAAAGGAAAAAATGAAATTTTTGGAAAAACTCTATTGTATTTATCAACATAACCTCTCTCTCTCACAAGTGATATGATAAAATTATTCTCTAATATTTCAATGCCTTTTCTGTTGAAAGCTTTATCAAGACCATCCAAATACAGTTCGGTTTCCGCAATGACCTTTAGGATTTACAAAGGGAGAATAATCCTTGGAAGCTATATCTGGAGAATGTAGTGGACGTGGTAATGGTACGAATACCATTTTCCGCAATTCCACTATTCTAGTCATCGAGTCATGGCACGATTCTACAGTGAGCAACCGTGGAGGTCATTTGGACGATAACTTTCTCTTGCTCACTTTTTTATGCAAAGTGATGAATGCCCTTGCCTTTGCCATGGCAAGTCTTCTTTGCAACTTCAGTTTTCAATTATCATAAACAATTTTTGGAACTTTTTTGATAAACGAACTAATTTCAAATAACAAACCCATTACAAATAGTTTTTTTTTGGACGGAGAAGAATTGTATTGAATAATTTTCAAGCCAGGTCTGACTTTAAAGAGTATTTTTCCGTCTCTATAGTGCCGTTAACTCGTAACGGAACGGACGAAATAAGATAAAATTTTAAGAAAAAGTTGGCACAACATGGATTTTTTATAAGTTACAATGTCTATGCGTTAGTACCGGATATTGCTGACCGGCTGCTTGACAAATAATACGCGAGGCACGTCTAATGTCGACAACAAGCCTTACTTTACTTGCGTTATTCAATATTCAAATGTAGATTTTATTTGCCAACAATAAACAGTATTCAGATATAATCGACAAACAAAATTTATTGTTGTGTCCAAAGGTTTTTAATAGTAATGAGCCTGTAATTGCATCCTGGGAGATATTCGATCTTTTATTATATTTTCTATAACTTCAGAGAGAATAAATACAAAGCATTGATATGTGACGTAGTTAAATTATGTTCCACTTTTGAATAATTGTAAGTATTTATAGAAGAATGGTAAAAATAAAATCTCCTAGGACAGATTGAATGTTAGCAAATGTAAGTAGCTCGCCGTTGCATCTCATTTTTAATGTTTTCATGCTTCACAGATTAATGAAATTGTGAAGGTATCGAAAAAAAAGAAATAATTGCCTTGACTTTCTTATTACATTTGACTTTCTTATTACCTATAGTAATTTTTTTTATTTTTTTGGAAACAGCGCGATTTCATTTTATCGAAAGTTGATAACGCAATACGTATAATAATGACTAAGCTTGTTAATATATATATATATGTTTATTTTTGATGAACTTTCTACAATGTGGGTGTATTTTAACACTATGTTGCTTTAGAAACGTACTATGTAATTATTAATGTGCTACTATTGAATTCGTGCCTGCCTGCTTGTAATATAGATACGTCCGACTTTTATGGACAACAGACAGTTTGCATGAAACGCGACATGATATTATACATTTTATTTGTTCGGCTGTTTTCATTTTTAGGTACGTAAATACGTATGACATATATATAAGCTTCGGCACCTCTATATGCACACAAGTACATATATTGCCATTTAAAAAACATTTAAAAGTAATTATTTCAACCATGACATTTGTTGGCCTTGTTGTCCCTTGTCACTCTGTTATCAAAGGCTGCTTTAAGTTCTGAAACCCAAGCTAATTTCGAACCCAGAAACGTTTTACAAATAATGACCACATTATAGCGCGGGACAAATAATTATACTTTCTCTTTCTAAAAGAAACACGAAATGATAATACAGAAGGAATCTCCCCGCTATGAACCAAATGCATATAAAAATAAATAAGAAAACTGTACAGGCGCCCCTCGCGGAACACGGTTAATTGTATCGCGCTATAACGAAATTGCCTGATATGAAAATTATTCATTTTAAGATATTGAATAAGATAATTTAAATTTAGATATAATATAAATCAAGGCAATGCGTGCCGTGTTGTATCGAGACCAAGTCGTAAGGTGTAAAATTTTATGACAGTTTAAATTTCGTTCCAAACATGAATAAATAATAACATAAATGAAAAAGTAAATTAACTTCACGTTTTCATAAAAAGCATATTATAAAAATCAATATGATGAAATACAATAATTAAAAATATGTTCAAAAAATAATGATGACAATCACAAAATTAACTATTTCTTCTTTAAAGTTGGTTGGAACATCTCCGTCCATCATGCAAAGTGAATATCCTATAGTTTTTTTTTATTCATTGTAGTAATAACATGGCTAAGTCGATTTTAACGTATAAATTGAATGCATATTTCCGTTAATAGATATTAGAAATGTAACTGTTAAAACCAAACTTAGAGCGGGAGTCGCAAACAGCATACTACATAATTATAAATATACAAGAATTTTAAACGTAAAATTCCAAAAAAGCGTAAATACAAACCATAATATCTAACACTAGCGTCACCTAAATAGATGGCTCGTAAAATTAATCGAAACAAATTTTCTAATGAACGAGTATTAAGAGTAAATAAATAGTACTTTGATTATATTATGTGCTTGCATGTATTTTGATTAGCTTCGTCTAACGGTGAAAATGATAAAGTAATGACAATTATTGATGTGTGCAACGGTTAAATTTGGTGATTTTGAACAATAAAGAATAAAAAGAATGTTCGAAGACAGTAAACTGCAAGATTCATCGGGCGAAAGACGAAACTCAAAGAACTTTCCAACAGTCTACTTGTTAATGAATCAACCGTTTCTAGACGTTTATATGCCATGGGAAAAATCCAAAAGGAGCGAAAATGGGGGCTACACGAATTGTCTAAAAATGGCATTTCGAACCCGTTCAACGTCCTGGTTTCATTGCTTGCCAAGCAAAAAAAGAAGAGATTTCTGTGGCGTATTGTGACTGGTTATGGAAAAAAGATCTACTACTACGACAATACTCAGCGCAACAAGTCATAGATAAGTCCAGTACAGCCATCTGCATCGACATTGAAGCGGAATATTCGTGGTCATAAAGTTTTGCTATTTGTGTGGTGCGATCAGCAAGATGTAGTCTATTGCAAGCTGCTAAAACCGAATAAAAATGTTAATGCAGATGTCTACCGACATCAGTTGACGGACGCTAAGCCATCCCTTTGCATGACAACGCTCAGCCACACGTTGCAACAGTTCTCAAGGATACATTGTTGCAACTCAAATGGGAAATTCTGCCGCACCTAACGTACCCCTCAGACATAACGCCTTCTGGTTAAAACTTGTTCAGATCGATTGAGCATGGTTTGGCTGGTACACGGTTTCGAAATACTGAAGGAGTGCGAAAATAGGTCGATGGTTGGGTCGCTGCCAAATCAAAATCGATTAATATCGTCGTGATTAATATGTATTGTAAAAACTTTTCTTAATAAATGCTTTTTTCAAAAGAAGAAGTGATCAGAATATATGTAAGCACTTATTGTATCCCTTTATAAACAAAATAGCAATTCATTGTGTGTGTGTGTTTGTGTTAATTCCTTTTTCTGCGAAATAGTCTGCAAGTTTTTGTTAATCTTTGCGACGATCGAGAGCCGCACGAGGCAGGTAAAGCGTCATTCATGAATATGTATTTTATTTTACCATTATTTGGAATTTGCTTTTTTAAAAAAGCAACTAGTTTTCAAACTCAAATCATCAAGTGTGAGATTTTCGTAAGAAACAACGTATGTTTTGCCACACTGGGCACTCCTTGGGTAGAATGCATTTTTGTTATTGTGAATGCATGTTCTTCCTTCTTAAAAACTTCGTATTTGCGTCAAAAAAGGCGAGAAATCTACAAATGCGAAACATAAAATTTCCATAGATTTTGAACATGCTGACGTACCGCACGCGCTCCAGCCAATTTAAATCGGTTACTATTTCATTACTCGTGGGGATATCATATGTATAAGCTACTTGCATAAGTTCCATTGAATCTTGAATTTACAGTTGGTTTGCGGAGCTTCAGTATAGCGGAGATCAATTTTTATAGGTGTTTTTATGAGAAGATTCAATTATAATAAATTTTGTTCAAATAAAAATATTATATGCGAAGTTTTTTATTTAAGAAAAGCGATCACTAAGCAGCAGTCTGAAAGTTGGATTATTTACTCGTCAAACTAAGTTTAAATTTACTATTCGAATTTTCAGAATTGTAAGAACTAAAATAGAGTTGTGGGACCTATTGGGTTTCACACGGGGTGCACGTGCTCGTTAAACACATTGCTTGAAAAATTTGCAGCCGCATAAGATGCGGTCTCCTGTCTCAAAGCAGATAAACTTCAGTACACCGTTAAAGTGATTAACTACAAACTTGAATTTCGCACAATTTTTATTTAAACACAAAAAGGCTTAGAAGCGGAATGTTTGTAATGTTTAATAATTAAATTTAATATTTATTTTTTTATTTATTGTAGTGAAACAGACCGCTATAAAAAAGTAAAATGGCAAGATGTTAGGGTTGGTGATATTGTGCATTTATCAAATAATGAAACGGTACCTGCGGATGTATTGCTGTTGCGCACTAGTGATTCCCACGGAGTCTGTTATATTGACACATGTGATTTAGATGGTGAAACAAATCTCAAAAGACGTGAGGTAAGCGCCTAATTTGCCCCGTAATATTCATGCTGCTATCGCAAATATTAATTAGGTTGTGCGTGGTTTTACCGATAAACAGTATATATTTACACCCAGTAAATTTATAAGTCGTGTGGAAGCGGATGCTCCGACCACAAAATTGTATCGTTTTCATGGAGCCTTACTCCATTCTTCAGGTGGGCGAGTACCAATATCAACAGAATGTTTATTACTAAGAGAAAGTAGACTTAAGGTACGTTTTTATCTGCACACAAGCAAATTCGTTTTACTTGCATATTTTTTACAATATCCTTTTATTTCTTTCTCGTTGAACGTAGAATACTGATTTTGTGGAAGGTATAGTAGTATATGCCGGTCATGAAACTAAAGCAATGTTAAATAATAGTGGACCACGTTATAAACGTTCCAAAGTGGAACAACAAATGAATATAGATGTGATATGGTAAGTGTATCAGCAAGTTTCTGCAAATAAAACTCTATTTCTTAATTCCCTATGAACATCTTAGAAAACCCGCAAGATTAAATTGGATATTATTGGGTACAATCCACACTTCATTATTTAGACCTTAGATATTATAAGTTGCATTAATGAAAAATGCAAGAAACAAGCCCACCCTATAAGCCTCATTATATTATCTGTTAACATTGTCATTATGAAATGATAAAAACGGGGTAAAAGATATTGTGAAAATCTTGTCGTTGTACTCGTCGTAGAGCGTTTAACCGCTGACTTGAGTTTTTGCTCTAATAACCTCGGTTTTTACCTCCATAAGTTTATCTCTGATTAGTCGTCCCTTATTTATATCTGGCGACTAAATTTTACTTTCACGTTACTCTTAATTTCAACTTTAAGGTGTGTGATAATATTGATAATACTCTGCGTTGTGGGTGCCGTGGGTTGCAAAATGTGGCTTAGCTCATTTCAAAAGTTTCCTGTACCTTACTTACCGTTTCAAGTGGATCCCAGCTATGAAGGCCTTTTAACCTTCTGGACATATATCATAATATTACAAGTTATGATACCGCTTTCGCTATATGTGACTATAGAACTGTGCAAAATTCTACAAGTATTCCATATACATAACAACATCGACCTTTTCGATCAAGATACCAATAAAAAAACTGAATGTCGTGCGATGAATATCACCGAAGAGTTGGGGCAAATACAACACATATTTTCGGATAAGACAGGTACACTCACTGAAAATAAAATGTTATTTCGTCGATGTGTAGTTAATGGAAACGATTATAATCACCCACCGTCCGAGTTGGAAAAGTCATATTCCAAGCCGGGTTCACCAATTCCCCCATTGATGATAAACACGAATTTATTAAATGACTTGTCAAACTTCACTTCCGTCAGCCAGAACGTGTTGCACAATTCGCAACGTATACAAGAATTTTTGGTTGTATTAGCAATTTGTAATACAGTGATAGTTAGTGCAGGACCACATCGAGATATAATGAACGCCAGTGGAATTATCGAGGTACAAAGTAATAATACTTCTTTGGTAGAGGAGCAACCTTTAGCGTCGAAAGGTGAGTTTATATGGGATATATAAATGAAATCATAGATAATTAAAAAAGTCTAAACAGGAGCTATGTCTCAAAACCGAGGTGAAATGACAAGCTCTCCTCCCAAAACTCCACTGAACAGTAACAGATTGGGCTCAGCTATACCAGCAGATCGTTACATGCGCTTATCTGAATCTCGTTCTGTGACACCGTCACCACCGCCTAATTTCAGTTTTAGCCTACCCACTATTCAACCGCATATACCTTCCCTTTCGCCGATTAGCAGTTCAGCTGAAACAACGCCCACTTCAGAGTCACCACCCATGAAAATGAAATCGTTATCTCAGACCATATCACCAACAGGTAGAGCTAAAGCGGTTTTAAATTCTAAAATAACCAGCTTAACAACGTTTCTGAATGCCAGAACACACGCCAAACGTTTAGCCAACAAATTGCAGTAAGTAACAAGAGGTAAAAATAAAAAAAAAAGAGATAAATATAGCCGTCTTTGTTGTAACGCAGGCAACAAAAAGTTCATCAAAGATGTCAAACACCTGATGATCGCCCCCTATATGAAGCTGAAAGTCCCGATGAATTAGCTTTGGTTAATGCTGCCTATAGTTATGATTGCTGTCTTATTAATCGCAGTCCTAATCGTTTATTGGTTAGTGTTCCTAATTTAGGCTTGGTGGAATATGAGGTCTTGAAAATCTTACCGTTTGACTCGTGTCGCAAGTGTATGTCGATTATCGTTAGACGTTCTGGCACTCAGGAAATTACCCTATACACCAAAGGAGCCGACAGTTCTATAATGCCTGTATTGGCTTCTTGTTCGCCCGATTCGCCAGAAGGTGCAATACGTGAAAAAACCCAACACCAATTGGATCATTACGCTCGAGAAGGCTTACGCATACTGGTGATGGCGAAACGTAATATACAACCTGCAGATTACACAGATTGGTGGACTAAACATCAAGAAATTGAAATGTCTTTGGAAAATCGAGAGCGTCGTCTACGAGAATCTTTCGCAAAATTAGAAAATAATCTCATCCTATTGGGAGCGACAGGTATAGAGGATCGCTTACAGGAAGGCGTACCAGAAACTATAACATCGCTTCTCGCAGCTGGTATTTCAATGTGGGTTTTAACCGGTGATAAACCGGAAACTGCCATTAATATCGCCTACTCAGCAAAACTATTTACACAAGAAATGGAGTTGATAAGGTATAAATAAAAGTGTTGAAACTCTTTCGATTTTCTCAAAGGATTGTAATTTTTAGATTAACAGCCCGCTCCAGAGACTCTGCAGAAGCTGCTATTAATTTTTATTTAAATGATATGGAGGTTAGGAAAAACTCAGCTTTTCAATATAATAACACGCAATCAAAACCTCAGTCTCTAGTGGTTGATGGCAAAACATTGACTTTTATTTTGGATTTAAGGTGATAAAATCTGTTTTAACATAGCAAGAACAAACTCGATTGACAATTTCAGATCGAAATTGATAAGACCATTTTTAAAATTAACTACGAATTGTGCGTCTGTACTATGCTGCCGCTCAACTCCGTTACAAAAAGCCTATCTAGTTAAGGTGGTGAAAGAGGAACTCAGGCTGTGTACTTTAGCTGTAGGCGATGGAGCTAATGATGTGTCGATGATACAGGTATTTTAAGAGACAAAAGTGGACTATTAATCAGATCCCGGAATTTATTTTTCTTCATTTATGGTAGATGGCAGACGTGGGTGTTGGTATATCGGGGCAGGAGGGTACACAAGCAGTTATGGCAGCTGATTTTACTTTAGCAAGATTTCGGTATTTGGAGCGTTTACTACTAACCCATGGTTATTGGTGTTACGACCGCTTGTCACGTATGATTTTATACTTTTTCTATAAAAATGCTGTAAGTTATAAAAGTCCAAAATTGAGATATATTTCTCTATAAATAACAACATTGCAGGCCTTTGTGTTTTTAATATTTTGGTATCAGTTACATTGTGGCTTTTCTGGGACAGTGATGATGGATCAAATGTATTTAATGCTTTACAATTTGATATTTACTTCTTTGCCTCCTTTAGCAATAGGCGTTTACGACAAACGTGTGCCAGAGGATTTACTCCTAAAAAATCCTTACCTATACAAAAATGTAACTAGTTCCCTTTATGATATTTTAACGTGAATTAAATGGTGTTCGATTCAACTTTCAAGGGCCGGTTGGGTGTCGTTTATAAGCCACATGATTTCTGGGTAATATTATTGGATTCTTTGTATCAGAGTTTAGTGGTGTTTCTGGTAGCTTTATACGCTTATGTCAATAGCGAAGTCGGTATATGGGAGTTTGGTGCTACCATAACTGCTTCCTGTCTTTTCACGAATTTATTGCATGGTGCCATTGAAATACGCTCGTGGGTAAGTTGATCCTTTTTTTTTATGTATTATTTCTTATTTGATAACTAAAATTCAATTTTTCGTCTCTTCAGACTATGTTGCATGTACTTTCGATCATTTTCAGTTTAGGTTCCTTTTATTTGTTTTCTATTATCTACAATTCCATGTGCGTTAATTGTTTTGGCCTTCCCTCCAGTTACTGGGTGATATTCCGTTGTCTTACATCCACCATACATTGGTTAGTTATTGTTATATCCGCTGTTGTTGCCATATTGCCTCGGTAAGCATACCATTTATTCGATTATTTATTTATTGTTTTTATTTTATTCCACAATTTTTGATTTTTAATACCTTTGCAGACTACTGTTTACCACCTTAAGGACATCATTTTGTCCGCACGAAAGCGTCAAAGTGTTACTGCATAGCAAACGTGAACGCAGTAGAGGTGAGGGTTTATTAGTTACTTGGTCAAGGTCAACATCTGCTTCATCAATTTATAGGTAAAGGACACACAACTGATAATAGCAATGCAGCTGTAGCTATCGCTTTCGCATTTTATTTTATATATTTGATGAATTGTTCGATATTTGAATTTTCTGTAGCCTTATATAATATATAGGAACTTCTGTTATTTTATGTTGAATTTTAATTTAGTTTTTTATTAGGCTTGTTTCAGTGCTCTTTAATACTATGTATTTGCAATTTTATTAGTTGTGTGTTTTTCCTTTCATTTTTAATTTCTTTCACATTTTAAATTCTATTGATTGTCATAATCTTATCACAAGTTATATAAATTTTATTACAATGTATTTGTTGTTACGTATATTGTTTATATGCACACATACAATTTTGCTTTTACATAATCAGTATAAATTTTTGCGAACTTAATAATAGATGAAGCAAAAAGTTCATGGCTTAAACGTATTTTTGTTTTGCTTTGTTGCTTAAACCAAATTTGTTTGATTTCGACCTATATCATTTTACCATTTTTATACCAAGAGATGAAATGATGAAAACCTGAATAAAGTGGTTTCTACAGGCCCGTTTTTTAGTGTAGTTTAACATATGAAGAGAGTTCTGCAAAGAGCGAGACAAATGGTAGTTGGACAGGGCAAAGTCCGGGCTGCCGTTATGAAAAATGTCGCAGCACCTATGTATCACTCAATGTTGGGTGCATTAGTTGTTAACGTTAGAAAGTAACCAATCATCTGATTATGACGCACTACTTCCAATGTTTAAATGACTATTAACAGTGTTGTGATTATTCAAAAAATCGATGCTCTTACGCTAGTTAATAAAAGCGTCATGACATTTTAGTATGCAAGCTTCTTCAATCTAAGCTTGAATCGACTATTATAGCTGAATGGAATATAAGTTCACTTAAGAAAAAGATTAAATGTAGGAGAAGTTCTACTTATACGACGAGATCAAGTACGATATATTTATAAACCAACCAAAAAAACGTTTTCTGGTAAAAAGTACTTTCGCAAAAATAAATTTTTTTTTGGATTAGAAAAAAGTTTTGTCACAAAATACAAAATGTGCAGTTTTTAAAAAATGAATCTAAATCTAGCACAATAAAAAACAGATATTTCGCAATCTGTTTTTATTTACAAATTGCTCTTCCACATTTAAAGTTATTAGTAATTATAACCTACACCACTGATGTGGTGGTACTACATTTGCGACGTTTGCAACATCCAACACCGATTCACAATCTTATTCGGCACGTCTTTCCGCCTGATATCTTTCCATGTAATCTTGTGACCTTGTATTCAAACTGCAGAGGTTGCAGTTATCGAGAAATTTTGATTAAATTAGGTAAAAACTTGTTTAGGCTCAAGGATGACCGTAGTTGGCCGGAAAGGGACTATTTTTACGACAAATCCCCTTATAACGATCTATTTTGAAAAAATCTTATATGAAAAAAACGTTGCATTTGTAACATTTTTTAATGAAAATTGGCTGATTAATATCGTCACACATTAGATAAATGTGAAAACTCTTTCGTTCATGTAAACTCTGTTGTAAAAAATTCGCCTTTACTTAGGAACCAGGTTTAGCTTACAGTGTTCTGTGGTGGAAATTGCTTGATAATAGTTGTTTGGCATATAAATTAATTATACTCAGCAATTTTTTTCCCACAGAAGGTTTTCCCATGGATAGTTAGCGTTTATATGACAATGACGAAAATAAGCAAATAGTTATGTTAGACGACGTGGAGTAAAATATTTAATACTTAGCTTTAATATGGTATCAGCCAACCAGAGATATCTTTCTTACTAGTTGTTATTTCGCATGCAAAAAGATTTTAATTTCCTTAAACCGGTTACGGAGTTTCAGTGAGAAAAAATTAAATATTTTACTTCATAATCAAGTTTCTTTTTCAATTAGTTTTGTAAAAGTTATCTACAAGAGCATTTTATTTCGTACTTTCTTTAACTAATATTACTCTTCCGGAGATGGATCTCAGAAATATTTATAATTTTACTAACTCAGTTCTCAAATCTATTTCCTTTTAGAATTTAGTTTTACCCTAACATTGTTTTTAACCTTTAACATTAATTATTTCAGAATCACCGATTATGGGTCTAAGAATCAAATTATAACATCAATTACCTGATTATTGCTTACAACAAGCTGTCAACGCGCTTAACACATTCTTTTATTTTATATATTTTATAGAATTGTATTTTGGTCTTTTTATGAAACTTATTTATTCATTTTTTTATTCCACAGACGTACCTATCGCCTGTAAATTAATGTTAAACAACTTTGCTCTTATAGCCTCCACTACTTGTGTGGCAGGATACATTAAGATTGGGGGGATGTAAAAGGAAATTAGAGGGGAAAAGAGATTAAAATAGATCCAGTTTTTATTATATCGATCGGCTCAAATTCGGCTTGTGAATCCATTCAAGCATGTCTGTTTGTCTGCCCGCCTGCCTGTCCACGTTTTGTCATGTCCAACTTGCAATTCGCAAGTTTGGAGATATTTCAATGATATTTAGTACATTCGCGTGTTTTGGTCCCGTAGAAGCTGGAAAAATTTCAATTTTCTATGTCTCGATAAAAACCCCTGAGTGACATTAAATGGATGAGGAAAACTTAGTTCGAGTGGGACGAAGCTTTGAACGAGTTCTTACGTGATCGGTCCTATGAAGAACAAGAAGGTATATGACAAATCTAGATCTAGGTCCATTTTGCCATCTCCTACGACGCATAAGGATTCTGACAACAAGCACGTTTTGCACGACAAAAAGTCCCTTTTTTTAATATTTTTGATGAAAATTACTCTACATTAGATTAATTTGACATAGAAATTAATCGTACCATATTTGGACGTATTGGACAAGGCCTATTTTTCGGATCTTACTTCTTCGGGTAAGAGCGCTTATGAAAAGAACAACTGTAAAAGGAGCTAAAGCTTAATATTTAGTACTTGATAAGTTGCAATAATTATCTTAAACAAGAAGATTAATTTCGTTAAATTTATACCACGTCGTTTCCATGTTAGGGTTCTAAAAAAAGCTGGAGAAAAGCTATAATAGTTGACATTTTATCAAGAAAACAAATAAAAAATTCTACTAGAAGGAATGATATATGGTGTCTAAATGTCGGCCTTCCCTGACTGAGATGTTTTTACTTCTTTTAATATAATTTTGTTTAAACGTTACCTTAAAAATGGGAGCAAATATATATTTCGTTTTTAACACACTGTCGTAACTAGATTTTAACATGGTACTTAAATTGACCGAAGTAGTTAAAACTAAATTATTCCTTTGTTAAATGCCAGTATACTTATATTGCCGATGTGGGAAAATGATTATTATACTATTTTAATAACTTGAGAAACGGTATAAATAAACTTGACATTGTCAATCCGCACATTTGAGTCCGGACTTACTTACAAAGGTAGCTCACTGAAAGGTAACTTCCTCAAAAATGTTCTGCAACAGTAAATGAAATTGACGCATGTGAAGGAATGTCACTGTAATTGGGTGAAATGAATAGCCCAGTTATCCATTTTTTACAGCACGTAGATTGCACCAATTTTTTTGTCGACGTTTTCCCATCATCTTAGGAATAAACATGTTCCGACTCTTTCATTTATAAAAAACATGGTGTTTCGAGAAAAACGCATCTGAAATACATTATAGACATGTTCTTTTATTACAGGAAGCCCTTTTTATTTTTGTCCATTCCCATTACCCATTACCTTTCGTGTTCAAATCTCATTCTGTTTGCCCGATTATTTTGTGCACGACGTAATCGTAGGTTTTGTGAAATGACACATAAAAAATGAAAGTATATAATTTTATAGCGAAACTTATAACAGACGCTAGAGCCTTCATCCCAATCTTTTAATTTCTTGCCAGAAGTGCTGACATCTTTTGAATCGTTTTCAGCTTCATATTCAAGGCACATCTTAACGAAGTAACACTAAAGCCTACGTTGAAGCTACGTTGAAACACTTTCAAAATGCTTTCCAGAGGTATCTATCAGTGCCTTAGAGAGAAAGTAGAAAGCAATAGGTAAGACATTAAATTGCAACTTCCCAGCAGGGATTCATTTGACTTAATCGCGAATTTCAAAAAAAAATTTCTTTCGGGTAGTGAATTTTTTCGATATAATCTAGAAGGTACGAGCCATCTATCATGTCAATAAACAAAACTTTCCTTTCCGAAAAATTGGTAGCGGTGCGCCACCCTTACGCTTAGAAATTATCGTAGTCTGTTCACAATTACGTTGAATAGAAATGGGCTATGTCGATAGTTAACAATTTGAAACGGATTTTTAACCAAGACGAGTCGCTGGTCCGACCTAATTTTCTAGTTCACTTTTGTCTCATTCATAAATTAAAACTTATTACAGAGCCTTTTTTTAACCTTTTAATTACTGAATGGGTCTTTTTCTTCAAATTATCCATGTCGCGTTAGTGTCGTTGATATTTTAAAAAGCAAGTAAGCAAAATTTTTCTACCAAGCCTTGTTAGTGTTTTTTACGAAATATTTTTTGTTTTAAATTTTTCCGTTGAATACCCCATAATGCGAGCTCTGCCCACATAATACTAAAGCTCGATAGACTGTGGCAACCGCTGACATAAAATCCCTTGTAAATTTTTGTCATAAATTATGTGCAAAAGTAATCGGCCCACGATTAATAACCTCGCAAACATCATACTTAAAATGACCGTCATCCATAGGGAATTAAGTTTTTCTTCCTTTTTTCCATATTCCTCAGTTTTAATAAAGACAAAATTGTAATATTGCGTAAATCTAATCATAAACTAGTGAATTCATTTATTGATTACAGTTGATTACATATTGCTATGACATTGTATTGCTAGCATTTAAATACAACAATTAGATGAAAAAGAAAATGGAAAAAATAGTAGAACACCTGCATTTTAACAATACCTTGAATAAAATTTTAATATACGTCAGGTATAGAATATTTTTATACGTGAATGAAGAATTGAAATGAAAAAGTTTAACATATGAAATTCCTACTTAAAACTAACAAATACAAATTTATATCTAAAATAATATTTATTTGTAGCATGCAAAAAAAACAAGAGCTAGGGCTAAAAGTGGATAAGGGAACTAGGTGCACAACTACAGATAAAACCATACATTTACATTCGTGTGCTTACTGTAGTAAATCATAAAAATTCATTAAAATTAATTAATAGATATAACAAAAAGGCTGTGATTGTACACTCATTTTAGCTGATATGCAAAAAAAAAAGAAATTTCATATTGACGAACACGGTGATGAGAAATAAAAGAGAAACAATCGATAATATTAAAAGAAAATTATGATTTTTTTGTATCTGTATAGCTTTAATTACATATATTTACTATATATATAGCGATGGGTTTAGTTGATATTGTATGCAACTTTGTATCTCTATCCCTCTCTTTACCTAATCTCTTCTTCGATTTTAATATATAATTATAGACAGTTGTTAAGTTAGAAAATGATCATAAATTTAGAAATTAAGCACGCTGTTAAGTTTAAGAAAATTTTTTTAAGAAAAATGTTCGCTTACGTTAATTTAATACATATAATAAACGCGATGACAAATTATAATAAATGAAAATATTTAAAAATACTTATTACATTATTGGTCGTGTTCATTGTAACGATTATCTCATAATTGTTGAAATACGCAACAGTTTTAAGTAAAAATTGATTAATAGTGTCATCTTTTCGTAAGCTCATTTTTTCCTCTCTGATCAATTGATGCAAACGACGGAGTATAGCTGCGGATTTCGATTTGGTTGTCTGTATTACATTAAAGCAAGAAAACCATTTTCAAACAATAAATTGTTTTACGGCAGTTTCCTCGTTGCGATTAAATTCGGAAACTCCATTTTAGGAATCTGTAGTTGAGATAAGCAAGATTATAGCAGAAAATAGTTAAGCGTTACAGACCAAAAACCATTATGGTTTAGAGTAGTGAGAAATATTGTCGTCCGTTTACAGTTAACGTCATCAAACAAACTCGATGGGGTTTGCATATTAGGTTGATAGGTCTCGTTAACAAGTCCTCGTTAAGGAGAATTCGGTTGATGATACCCCATAGCGTATACGTGATTGCTCGATATCGACCATAAAATGTCATATTTTAGCAAATGTTTATTTCAGCAATGTTTATTTTAGCAACATAAAGGACATTATTAGTGCAAAGGCACCAAAAATCAAATAATTATTTACGGTATTTTACATGTTAGTGCCATAGAGTAAGAAAAATGTGAAACATGGAACAAACGAAAAAATTTCTGGGAAGAACAAAATGGCATTAATGACCAAAAAATGACATTTTCAGTCAATTTGTGTCGCCACTTTTAACCCGTTGAACCCAAGATCGATTTTATCGTTGAAGATCTTATTATTCTCTTTCTATTATCGTTACGAAACACTAAATGTTAAAATGAGAATTCACGTATGGGGGGAGGCCGGAAAATAGGTCTATGTGATCCAAATTCGGTAAAGTTAAAATTTGCATTAAATTTCTTTTGTGAATCAATTTTCATTATAAAATTCTAAGAATTGCACGTTTTGCCTTAAAAAGGCTTACTTTTCACAAGGGCGGTTGTGTAGCAGGCCATAACAAATCTGGGCTTATCTGATTCAAAATTTCTACTTCAATTTAGTGAAAGTTATTATTATTATTATTATAAATTTAACCAAAGAATCAATTGTAAGACTAAAGTCTAAAGCACTAGCAACTAAGGCTTTCGGCTTTATTAAAAACTCTATACCGCTTAATATATGAACCAACAACCATGGAGTTGCCAGTCGAGACTCTTGTCTACTCGGCCACTCAGGCGGATTTAGTGAAGTTAAAAAGCTTAAAAGAATCGATAAACGTTTTCAAATTTACTCGAGCAAAAACGATAATAATTATATTTACAAGAGAATGATAAATAACAGTAACATTGTTTCAAAGAGAAATAATTTCATACTGTATAGAAAATAATACCTGGTAGTTGCGTCAAACTAATATAGAAGTGAGAAAGATTTCATATTGTGTAGAAATTAAGTCATGGTAGTTGCGTGAAACTGAAATAGAAGTGAGAAAGATTTGTATGGATACTATGTGTCCGTCTACCGAAGCTTTTTACATGTTCAAGAGCGCAAGGTTTTTATGTGTGATTTTAGGCTTTGAAAATCTCAACTATACCTTTTCGATTGTATGCTTGGGTGCTTTCTACATTATCTTCACGGTACTAGCCTTCGCTTTAATAAAGCACCGCTTGTCCACGTCAGGAACTACTAATCCGTTTATTCAAAAAATTAATAAATATTTAATTAAGTATTTTAATTTTGATACTTATAAATAAATCGCGCTTACATGTAGGGGTAAACGTTAAAAGCGCCAGCAGTTATCGTTCGATTTCAATAAATCAATTCTTTGGCCGCGTAGTCGAGTTAAAATAATTTACTCAACAAAATTTCGGATACATTTAACTCTTTAACTTTTTTCGATTCGTTGTTGAAATTTTGAAATGACTCCCGACAATTGGGATACTATGGAGCAGCATCACTATAAGCTTCTGAATGGGTTTAGTGGGTTTCGGCAGCAGATTTCTTCAAATAAACAACAAAAAAAGAAGAATTTGAGCGCTCTATGATTGGCGTCGGCGTACGCTGAATTAATCAATAACATTAAATAGAAATACATATGTACATAATTAAATTTATCAAAGTTTGTTTCTTATTTTTTTTCATAAAGTTCAATTATTTTACTAAATTTCATTTTGTATTACGTCAATATCACAAGTTTGATGCTATAAGTTGTATGAAATAATTTTGAATCAAAACAATGTGATGATATAAGCTCTTGCAAAGATCAGTGTTGATAAGACTACGCCAATTACTAAGTTTATGCACGGTAGTTTCGATATTTCGGTATTAGCCTACGATCGGTAACTTTGTAGTTAGACGTTCAAACAATTAGCTTACGTTTGTGGGACAATGCCGCTTAAGATCGCTTCTAATTATTTGGGGTAAACAGCCGTTGATAAAGTAAAATGTAGGTTGCTTTTGCCAAACAAAACAATCAAATAAAATTTATTGTAAATTTTCGTGCAATTTTTGAGCAGACACACATTCTTTTAAACAACTGGTTTAATGTTTTTATACCGACCACTGTAAGCTTTGGGTATATTCATTTTGTTTTTTTCCGTAATGTATATAACATCTAAAACGAAGCTTCAGAAAGCGTGAAATACTTAATTGATTTAGCCATCTCTGTCCGTTTGTGTGTCTGCGTGGTGTGCGTCGTTGGCACTCTTCTGGTCGCAAAGGTGAAGGTATCGATTTCAACATTGGAAGTTTCTACACGCAGGTTGGTATTGGAAAGCGTCTAAATCGGTCGGAGTAGAAGCACGCAGTGGAGCGTAAACTGAACGCAACTCAGTTTTTTTTAAAAAAAGTTTTTGGATATTCGCTCGTTGCTCGGAAATTACAAAAGATTGAAGGCTGAAATTTTCCACGTTTACTTTTTGAAGCATTCTACTTTTTACGTCCAAAAATGCAAACAATCGACTTTGCTCACACAAAGTTACAAGCAAAGAAAACAGAATGTTTAAGACAATTTTGTACATTTCTCAAATGAAGATATGTTATTCCCCTAAAATTGCGTTAATTTTAAAATGAATATGGTAAACACTGCGGTTAATTGTTTCTTAATAATGTTAGCGATATTGGTATCAAATAAAGAAACTTGGAGAGTAGAATGCGAAAACGTAGTGGCGGATATGCGAGATTCGGGAAAATAGCGATATTTTCATTAAATTCATTATACCCTATACCACTTGTGGTATAGACTACGTTAAGTTCGCGTGGAGAAGAAGAACTTAAGATAGACTCACCGTTTTCAAAATGGATCGATTCAAAATCACTTTGTAGGTGTGTCTGCTTGTCCGCTTGTCTGACCGTCTGACACCGGTTCATGTATTTTTTGTCCAGCCTACACGATGCAAATTTTTGGAATGCTTTTGCGAAATTTGGCATAAGGACATCTCTTGGCTCGAGGACAGAGGATGAAAAGATATTGCAATTTTCAGAAATTTGCGAATTTTGGTATTCTAAATTGGTGTGAAACATTTGGTTGGGATGGGGTAATTTTTTGAGCTCATGCCGTATAAACTGGACCTTTATATGACAAAAATTTTTGTGAGTTCACTTTTTGATTGGAAATCCAAAGGCATCATGCCAGGAATGTGCAAGTTAGGCACTCGATTAACTTGTTCGAGTGTCAAACGAACGATCGCCTCAACGTTTCTCTTACCAAGCATTGGTTATATTAACAGCCCGCGGAACTTCCAGCTCTTTACTTTCTGGATCGATTTACGTACATTCTTAAGACGTTTACGTTTTACTATAGCATTATCGCTGCGCTGAATTAATATTGTGCGCGATTTCTTATCTTTTTGAAAAT